ATACATACATTACATTACATGACATTACATTACATACATACATACATACGTACATACATACATATACATACATACATTACATTACATGACATTACATACATACATACATACATACGTACATACATACATACATGAATTACATACATGAATTACATACATACATACATACATACATACATGCATACATAAATACAAACAGACTCTTCTTATAACCTCGTAAGCATAACATACTACAGTCAGAAGGAGAAGGGCGCACCTCAAACCTTAGACCTCACAGCCTACACCCTAAGCCCTAAACCCTCAACTGTAACGTAAACCCTGAACCCGTATGTAACAACCATCGAGGCAGAGGAAAGGTTCCCTTTTAAACGGGCGCAGTGTAGAAAGGGTTCTGCTACTTGTGGGCTGGTAGATTTCAACCCTAAATCCTAAACCCTGGCGCGTTTAGGGTTTAGGAAGCTGGAAAAAACCTCAAAGTCTCCTCGGTAACTCTGTGACCAACCACCATAACCTGTGTCATAACCCCCCTATGAACCCTACACGGCACCGCAACAAAGGTCCTTGGTAAGCTGCTTGAACCCTGAACCCCCGACCCAAAGCCCTCAGCCCTAAACCACTTAAATCCCCAACCTTCCACCCCTAAACCTTAAACCCTCTTCTTTTAATCCCCTACCCACAAACCCCGCAATTTCACCTCCTCCAACTTCGGCCTCTACAGCCCGAGGAAGCTAAGCACTGTACATCCATCTTGCAGCTACAAAAGGAACCCTAAACCCTAAACCCCTGATCCCTAAACCCCTGAACCCTAAACCCCTAAACCCTAAGCCCCCAAACCCTGAACCCCTAAATGCTACTAAAGGATCCAAACCCGTACCAAGTTGCTATTTTCAATCCTTTTCAGGGCTTACATACCTGGACCCCAAAAGTATGTAAAATAATGGCTAGTATGGCTATTATTAGGGGTTTAGGGCTATTCTTTTACATACGTTTGGGGTTTAGGTAGGGTTTAGGGGCTTCGGGTTTGTGGGCTTAGGGTTTCGGGGTTTAGTACATGCCGGCCCCAGACTAAACCAGTGTTGTCGGGTATTGCCCCAACCCACTTACAGTCCTTGATCGGGTTCATAGATATTAGGGGATATATCTACATACATATTTACGACTATTAATGCAACTGTTACCGGGCGGGGGAAGTACTCGGCTTTTTTCAATACAGTCCCTAGTTACTTTGACCTTGTTTTCCAGTCTTTCATTCCACATTAACCTCCAGCCCACCGTCGAAATATGAATGCGCTTTTTACTTGGGAATCATGGGCAATTCCTAGTACTTGAACCCCGAAAGTATGTAGAATAATCGCCTTTTGGGCTATATTTAGGTGTTTTGGGTTGTTATTCTACTTACTTTTGGGGCCCAGGGAGGCACTTGTATGGCCCATACAAGGGGCCATCTTTAAAACCTTAGAGAAATAAAGCCCCAAACCCCAAAACCTGCTAGATACCTAAACCCTAAACCCATAACCCCATACAAATACAACTACTTCGGGATTCCAACATCAGCCTTCCTGAGCTTGCAGAACTCAAAATTTCGGTGTCTGCATACAATCCTCTCCCAAAACTGAAGATGACGAACAAAACTACCTCAAACGCTGCTCCCCTGCCTGGCACCCTACACCCTACAGCCCAAGCCCTACACTCTAAACCACCCTAAACTCAGAAAAAACCCTAAGCCCTACACCCCGCATCCGAAACCCTAGAGCCAACACCCAACACCCGCAACCTTTTTACTAAGCCAACACCCCACACCCCACCTTAAACCCTCCGCTCTAAACCATTTCTCTGCAGCTTTCTGTGCGGCCGAAGTCGACACCGTGTGCACATGTAGCGATCTTGCATCCGCAAGACTGCAGATTCCAGGTTAGCTATCTCCCCGGGGCGCAGCGTCATATGTTGCAGGCTGGCTACGAACACCTACTCCCTACAGTAACACCCTCCCCGCAGCCCACACCCTAACCCCTAACCCCTAAACCCTAAACCCTGAACCCTAAACCCTAAACCTTAAACCCTAAGGCCCCTAAACCCTAAACCCTAAACCCCCCCTAAACTCTAAGCAGACCAGATGGACTTGCCTCGGCTTAGAATGCTCAGCAGCAGCCGCTGGACTTCTTCTTCTTGCTCTTCCTAAGAAGACTGGGAGACTTCCTAGATGGTGTATTTAAGGTTTAGGAATTAGGGTTTAGGGTTCAGGGCTTAGGGTTTATGGTTTAAGATTCAGGGTTTGGGGTTTCTGGTCGAAGGTTCAGGGTTTTGGGGTGGGCTTCGTCAAAATTATTGTATCCTGAGGACCCTGGGACTACGTGGAGTTTGTGAGGACCCCAAAACCATAAATCCTAAAGGGTCCCCCTTAAGGATCATGTAAGGATTGTTTGGAGAGAGTCCTACCTATTCATGGACTCCCTCGAAGTCTCAGGGTTTGGGGTAAGGTTTCCGTAAACCCTAAACCCTAATCCCTACACCCTGGACACCCTAGACCTAGACCCTAGTCCCTAAGCCCTAAACCGCTATCCCTAAACCCTATTCCCTAAACATTCAGCCCCAAACCTTCAACCCTAAACCCTAAGCCCTGAACCCTAGTTGGTTCTAGGTTTCCATGCACAGTTCTAAGGACTCACCGAACAAACAAGAAGGGCGTGGCAAGGGCATGCATAGTAAGAATAGGGTTCACAGGATCTACTTTACCCTACCTGAACCCTAAAAGTATGAAATACTGGCCCTAAACCCATAATAACAGCCGTAAAGGCAATTTTTCTACATACTTTTGGGGTCCAGGTAAGCCCTATAGGGTTTAGGGTTCACGTCTACCCTAAACCCGAAACCCTAAACCCTGATCCCTAAACCTTGAAACCCCAAAAGGATGGCACGGGGATAGCCCTCCAGAGTTGTGAGGGTCTGCCATATTACGTTTAGGGTTTAGGCTTTAGACAACAGATGAGCATTAGTCTAAACTCCTGAAAAAACGTTTAACAAGGGATTATATAGGGTTGTATCGGGTTTAGGGTTTAGGGTCTAAACTCCTGAAAAGGATTATATAGGGGATGATATAGTGTAGCATTATAGGGCTTATTGAGGATACTAGGAGTTCGGGCTATAGCTCATATGCGGAGAGTCTTCCTTACTATTCGGGCTTCTACATTGCTGCAAAATGGGCATGGACACCGTAAGTTACGTGCCCAAAGCCATGGGCCTTGCACGCCTCCTGGGCTTTGTGATGGTTTGGGATTTAGGGCTTAGGGTTTCAGGTTTGAGCTCAGGGTGTAGGGCTTAAGGTTTAGGGTTCGGCTTTGCGGCTTAGGGTTTAAGGTTCATCTTCAGGCAGGAGGCAGGGAAATGAACAATCAACCAACCCAGCTTTCTACTGGCGTGCCAGTACTGTGATAGGGGTCTATGCCTACATGCCCCTGATCCCTCAACGAAGAGTCCCCACGGATCCCCCGCTATGGAGCAGAACCCCCCCAAACTCCCTAACCCCACACCCTCCTGAACGCTAAGTTCTTTCTAGACCCAAAATTGACCTTGAAATACCTTGACGCCAGTTCTTCTTGGTCTTTTCTCCTCCTATATGCCCTCAAAGAAACCCCAGCCGGACATATCCCTTCAGTATATAGTCCCTGTCCAGGACCCCCCTATATAACGACTACGCACCTGTCAACCCCCATACAATGCGCAACCCCAGCTTCCATTTCATGTTCCATTTTCTTTTCGATTTGCTTCTCCGTTATCTCAAAGTGGAACCAATAACTTTTGAATCCCTGAACCCTAAACCCCAAGCCCTAAACCCTAGACCCCACCTGTTTGAAGGACCCAGGCTCTTGGTCTTCTTCTCAGGAGCCTTTGGGAGTGCCGACTTGAGGGTGCTGCCGGTGACAACGAAGCTCTCGCGGGCCTGCTAAACGCGGTGGGGTTCTATGAGATTCTATGGTTTCTATAGTGATTATAAAAGGGATTGTATAGCCACATGTCCAAAGCCACCCAAGGTTGAGGATTTTAGGGCTGTAGTTAGGGCTTTAGGGTTTTAGGGCTTTAGGGTTTTGCGTTCGCAGTGTAGAGTTGCGTGGGACTTGCGACGTTGGAGACTGACGCGCTGGAGCCCCAGCAGGCCTTGTCGGTCATGCTGTGGGTCTCCTGAGAAAGGGGGCTTTGGTGAAAAGTTTGTCCAGCGATCCCAAAACCACAGCTCAGGATAACCCCAAACCCTATTAGGCCTATTAGGGTTTAGGGTGTAGGGTTTAGACCCTAAGCCCTAGACCTAAACAAATCCCCAACTGTTTTATGAAGCCTATTAGGGTATTGGGTGTAGGGTTTAGACCCCAAACTCTAGACCCTTTGGCCGCCAAAATCTCTCGTCTCAACAGGCTGGCGGCATGGGCGGCTCTCAGGGCTCTGTTTCGGGAGGATCACATTGTTTTGGTTAAGGATTTTGCGGGGTTAGGATTACAGGGTTTAGGGTTTCTTTTGATTTTCAAGGTAGTCAGAGGCCAGGCATCACCCCCTCCCCCTCCCCCCAAAAAAAACTACGCGCCAAGCCTTGTGTGTACATCCTAAACCCTGTACCTCAAACCACTGAACCTCACACCCCAAATCCTGAAGGTGAGCTCCCTAGATCTTAAACCCAACCATCATTTCTCCTGAGGAGCCGTGTGCCCTTCTGGGTGGGCGGTGATCACGTAGCCTGTGACACATCCAGGCGGCTTCAAGATTTGGGGGGTCTACCTTTGTAGGAATACCTATAATTCATAAGGATTCTGGTATACTAGTATTTGGGGGTCTAAATAGGGTCCCTGATTTAGGGAACCACCATTTGCTCTCATGTCACACATTGAATGAATACTAATGAGGATAATAGTAGGGAGCGCAAGTAGTGGTACGGACAGGGAGCAGCTCGCCAGAATTACCAGCCAGAACACCCCCGTATGTCTCAAGCCCCTAGATTAACAACCTGGACACAAAATTTTAGGGATTCCACACGGCTTTAGAAATTTCAAATTGCTGTTAACAGGTCTTCAGCAGACCCTAAACCCTAAACCCTAAATTCTTAGGATCCGGGGATACTTTGCTTGAAGCCTAGGTGGTTGGCCCAAAACTGCCTCCGCCGTTTTTCTTATCTTTAACACCAAAAGTTTCCCCAAAAGGTTGCCTCGATTCCAGAAACCATCAAGAGCAAGCATTGAACCCTAGACCCTGAATTCGAAGACCCTAAGCTCTTACTGAATCCCTAAGCCCTAAACCCTACACCCAAAAAGCCTGAACCTAAAACCCTAAACCCTAAAACCCTGAACCCTAAAATGCGCAGTGCGCAAGGCACCTGGGGGCAGAGCCTCACCCGGGGCAAACCACTTTCCTCAGCGATGGGATTCTCCAAAAGATGGTTTAGGGCTTAGGGTTTAGGGCTCAGGGTTTAGGGATACCTTATTGGGGGTCCCTGCAATAAGGATTTTTGTATTTGAGGTCTATACTGGGATCCCTGTGTTTGGGAAATTCACACTTAGGGCTTAGGGTAGGGTTCAGGGTTCCTTAGAGTCTAGCTATGTCGTGGGGCTCAAGTTTTTTGGTTTAGGTTTCAGGGTTCAAGGTTTACCTGGACCCCAAAAGTATGTAAAGTTATGGCGTTTGTGGTTGTTACTGTGGGTTTAGGGCTATTATTTTACAACTTTGGGGTTTAGGCAGGGTTCAGGGTTCAGGGTCCAGGGTTGAGCGTTTAGGGTCCAGGCCGCAGTGTCTAGGGTTTCAGGCCCTGGGGTCTTAGATATGAGTGGAAGGGATGATCTTGTGAAAATCCGTGTAGGGTCTAGAGCTTAAATAGACCCTAAGCACCTATGGGTTCATGTTTGAAGGAACTTGGGCCTAAAGATCACACTACATGAGGTTTTTAGATTGTTTTGATGCTTCGGGAAAGTTTTATTGTACCCGAATTCCAACAAGAGGCAAACTGAAGCAAGATTCCAGACTGAACCCCAGACCCCTTACCAGCAGGCTGCCAGCAGAGCTTTGTGTACAGAGCTCAGGGTATACCTCTACTAAGCCCTAAACCCTAGACCCTGAGGCCCCTAAACCCTAAAACCCTAAACCCCCTAAAACCCTTAAACCCTAGAGTCCAACCTTAGGGTCTCTGGAAGCGTGTTAGTTTTCGTTGCTTTTTGTTGCTTGGCTACTCCCTAAACCCTAAACCCCTTGGACTTCTAGTTCGGCCTGACGATGTTCCAGGTGCCATGGTTCGGGGTTGGGGGTTTAAGGTTTGGGGTTTAGGGCTTAGGGTATGGGATTTAAGGTTTGAGTTTTAGGGCTTAGGAGATTTAGGGTTTGGGGCCTAGGGTCTAGGATTCGGGTTTTCAAAGATTTGGAGCTTCGGCTCGGCAAGCTGCGCCACGCTTTGGGCAAATCCTCAGACACCCCGCATGCTACTGTGCACAATCTGCGTTGGATGCTTTACCCTCATAAGAGCTGTTGACACAGAGACCTTGCTCATTGCAGCCCTTAAAGGTCTAGCCCAGGTTTGGGGTAATATGAGGAAACTACAAGCTAAACCCTAAGCCCTAAACCCTAACCCTGAACCAAACTCTAAACCCTATAGACCCCCAAAATGCCACCAAAGCTCCCTGAGAGTGGTCGAGGGGTGCAGCAGGCATCGCGGGCATGTACCTGGGTAAGCTGAGAAAATTCTGGTTTGGTTTAGGGCTGCCAGATACTGGGACCTGTGCGAAGTCCTTAGACCCAAAACCCACAACCCAAAACCCTGGAACCCCCGGAACCCTGAGCCCCTAACCACAAGCCCCCGTCTTTAACTCAAGTCCTTGGGATTGGGCTTTAAGCGCTAAGGAGACAAGGGCAGCAGCTTTTCCGGGTGCACCTAGGCATGGTGTCCGGACCAATCAAGACTAAGGTTTTGCCAGCTTTATCGGAATCCCCCAAACTCTCATCATGGGTTCGCATACTACCCCCCGTACTACCACGCCCAAGGTTCCCCCTGCGATAGTGGCAGCAAAAAAGCTAGTGTGGGTCCAACCTAGAGGGATTGTGTAGCTAGGGGATGGGGGGGGAAATCAGCCCGAATGCCCTGATGCCTTGCTGGCATTTTTTACACAGATGTGCCGTTGTTTAGCGTTGAGGATTCAGGGTAGAACTCGAGGGTCTTGCCGTTTAGGGCCTAGGGCCTAGGGATGTTCTTCATTATAGTGGACTTGTTCGAGTATTGCAGGATAGTTTGCTCAGCCATGCTGTAGCATAGGGCTCAAGTTCCCGATGGCCGATGAAACCCCAAACAAGCGTATAACCCCAAACCCAAACCCTTAACCCTTAACCCTGAACCCTAAACACTTAACCCTTAACCCAAACCCCTCAATCCTAAACCACCCCATCTAGCAAAGGACCTCTAGCCAGACGGATCAGCCTGAATTCCTTATGCCAAGAGATTAGGGTTTAGGGTAAGCCCCCATCCCTCCCCCTGCCAACCACGAGACTGTCAATTCTGCCCTACTGAAAACCCCTCAATCTGACAACCCTAGACCCTAAGCACTTCACACAATTTAGGGTTTAGGGTTAAAATAAGGGGACCCCAATATAGACTATAACCCTAAACATCCCTAAACCCTAAACCCTAAACCCTAAACTATAGTCCTTAAATGTCCTTATTCTATTTAAGGTCTAAGGGTTTAAGGTAGCCCCTGGCCCTAAGCTTTCTTTCTAGCGGCCCGATCCAGGTTTTTGGGCAGTATGACATGTTGAGAGGTTAGGGCCTAAGGACATGTTTCCCATAGTGGCCCACATATACTGGAAACCCAAGGTGATGCTACAGGGCTTAGGGTTTAGGGCTCAGGGTTTTTAGCATCTTTTGGGGCTTCAGCCTATTCTCATCCTGAAAAATGCTATAGCCTAGAGGAGGATATTGTCTTACTCTAATACATGGAGGTCCCCGGCATCTCTACCAAACCCTAAACCCTACGAACCCTAAACCCATTTAATTAGTTCCCGTTCAACTGGGCCTAGCCACCCCTAAGCACTAAACCCTAGCTGAACCCTAACCCCTAACCCCCAGGCCCTAACCTTGAATGGGCTTAGCCGCGTGTAGTCGGAAGCAGGCATGTAGGTGTAGCCAGCCGGCATGCCTGCCCACTTCAAACCATATTTTTGATTGCTATTAGGATTGTAGCACTCAAAAATTAAAAGATATTTTGGAGGCCCCTATAGTAAAGGGGTTACAAGGGCAGATAAGAGTATGTTGCAGAGAGTTGAACAGCTAGGGATAAAGAGTTGGGGTTTGGGGTTTAGGGGTTTGGGGCTTTAGGGCTTACAGCTTCAGGGTTTAGAGTTTAGAGTTTGGGGTTTTGGTTTTCTAGGGTTTCTGGGGTTTGGGGTTTAGGGTTTGGGGTTTAGGGTTTCGGGTGCAGGGTTTGGGTTGAGGAGCTGCCGTTCAGGGTTTAAGGGACATAGTCGCAACGAAAGATATCTTTTCAAACCCTCCCGTTTACAGTGTCGGTTTGGGCGCTGGCTGGCACAATGCGCACGTGTTTCTGCTGGCAGAAACAAAATTTGGACTGGCGAGCGCTGCGGGTTCAGGCTTGAATGAAGCATCCCCATTGCCCAAATCCTGAACCCCAAACCCTCACAAGCTAAACCTAGACCCCTAAACCCTACACCCTAAACCTTAAGCTCTGACCTCTGAACCCTCACAACGAACGTTTAAAACTCTAAACTTAATCCCTAAGGCCCTGCACCCACCTAAACCCTGAACGAGCTGACTAATACGCAAGTGTTATCTATAGCCCCTAAACCCTAAACTGAAAGACAGCAGAGAATATTGCATGAGCAATAGTCTCAACTACCAACATCCCCCTTAAAAACTCCTACAGTAGCCCCTCACATGAACCGCTATCTAGACGATAGCTCAAATGATTCTTTAGGGTCTAGGACTTAGGGTTACGAATGACAAGCCCAGCTTCCATGGTGTTTTCCGCTTTCTTTTTTGGGCAGTTAATTCTGCACACTTGCTTGCATTTCCTCTATACTCTAGACCCTAAGCTCTACATCCTACACCGTGAGTCCTAGTTCCTGAAAACTCCGTCCTGAACCCTAAACCCTACGTCCTAAACCTGAACTGTCCAGGAATAGGAACCCTGAAGCCCCTAGCCCTTGCCAAATGAAGACTCAAGGTGCTGATGGGCGCCGAAGTGTAGGTCACCGGCACACCAGCATCCTGCCCAAATGGTTTGTTGAGGTTTGGGTTTAGGGTCTTGCCCACAAGGTGTGTGAAAGTTTTGGGTGCTTGAAAGGGAAGCGGTATGGAAATGGAAACTAAAATGGTATCTCTTATGATTTTGAGTCTGGGGCTGCGGGTCTTTAATGGTCCAGGGGGGCCTTGGACTTAGGGTCTAGGGCAAGGACTACTTGGCAACTTCCTATCCCAAAACACTAAACACTAAAACAAGGAACCCATGAACAACAACATGCTTGCCAAACTGCCTGCTTTCAGAAGCTGGGCTCACCAACAAGCATTTCTAGACTGAGGGGTAAGGGTTTAGGGTTTGGGACCCTAAACCCTAAACGCTAGAAGTGTAGGGCCCAGAGTTTGGAGAGTAGGCGGACGGTCCTCGCGCCTATCTTTTCTACGTGGCGCTTAGGCCCCCCGATAAGGGTTAACCGATAGGTACCTGTAGGAGGAGTATAAAGGAATCCCAAAGGGTTAAGGGCCTAAGGTCCAAGCTAAGTCCCAAGGAGTCTTACGAGTGACAATACTGCTGGGGAACTCTGTGCTGCAATCCACTGTGGAGATCTTGGGTTCTAGAAAAACCTGATATCCATCTTTTCGGAGGCTGTATACAACAGGATTGTACTGTTTCGGTGCCTATAATTGAATGCGCACACCTTTTGAACACTTCCATATGACATTATAGCCGAGGTCCTCTGTACACCATGAACCCTGATCCCTACAGCTACCCTCAAGCCTAAACTCCAACTCATATGGCAGACCCCAATATAAGGCCCAATATAGACCCCAATACGCTCTAAAACTTGTTGTGGGAAACCCGCCCAAAAAAAGTGGTCTCTAATTTCGGGAAGCCCACATCCCCATAAATCAGCACGTGATCCCAGTGCCCATTCAATTTTTCCATGTCCTTTTCCATTCCATTTTCCATTGTTGGGCCTGTATCCCCGAGTTAACCCTGCACACAACCCTGTATGTCCCCGTATGCTAAAAGTATCTCAACAGGAGCAATAGCCCTTAACCCTTAACCCTACATCCTAAACCCAAAACCAAATGCACGACACCTCACTTACTTCTTATAATTTATGTCAACCTTAAAGGATTAGTGGGCATTTGCCGAAAACTCGTGGGCATTGCCCAAAAAATAATGAGCATTTACCAAAAAGAGTGGGCTTGGCCAAAAAATAATGAGCATCGGCCAAAGAATAGTGGGCGTTGGCCATAATTCCGTGGGCATTGGCAACTTTAGGGTTCTTCGGGCTCTAGGGTTCGGGCTTTGGGGTTGGGGCCTTAAAATGTTTTCTGAATGTTGTGGGACCCAACGGGCGGGCGAGCATACTGCTTTTGCTTGAGACTGGTGCCCTTGGAATGAAAGCTTGGACTTGACATGCTGAACCCTAACCCCTACATCCTAATCCCGAAGCCCTAAACCCTAATCCCTGAACCGTAAACCCTAATCCCTAGACCCTATTCCCTGGACCCTAAAACCCATACCCAAAACTCTAAACCCCAAACCCCAAACTCCAAAACTGTAGCCTGCTGGATGGTATAGGCGGGCATCGGATCGGTGGTGTAGGCCGGAATGGTGTAGGTAGGCTCGGCGGGAGCGGCCATGATGGACCTGGGCGGCGTTTAGGGTTTAGGGTCTAGGTTTAGGGTTTGGGGTTTAGGGTTCAGGGTTTAGGGTTCAGGGTTTAGAGTTTATGGTTCTGGGTTTAGGATTCAGGGTTTAGGGTTTACTACGTGGCACTTAGGAACCCTAATAAGGGTAAACCCTTAGGTACCTATAATGGGAGTATAAGGGAATCCCCAAAGGTTAAGAGTCTAAGATCCAAGCCAAGTCCCAAGAGGATTAGGGTTTTGGGTTCAGGGTTTAGATAGGGTTTGGAAATTTGGGCTCAACGCTTAGGATCTTAAAAGTAGAAACGCTTAAATGATACCCTGCGCTTCGAATCCTCGATTTCTAGGAACCCTTCGGAAACTTGCACCCTAAACCCTAATACTTTCTGTCTAGATCAACCGAAGGAGCCAGGAGTGGACAATGTATAGCTTGGGGCTTAGTGGCCACAGGAGTAGAGGTTTAGGGTTTAGGGTTTGGCTGTACTAGTACCACCTGAACTTCGGATAACACAGGATGTGGTCCACCAGCAGGCCAACTTTCGCATCTGTTGTCATGACGAAGTTGATAAAATTGGTGTCATTGGGCATTGCAGGTACGGCTCTTACACAATCGCTACGATCATTCTTCTTTGCTGTAGGCACCACGACCCTAACCCTACGTCCTGCACCCTATATGGCATTCAGTTTGGAGTCAGATAGCTAAGTTGCTATACAAGGTTTACAGCACTAAGGGCTTGCAATCTAAACCCTTTACCTTGGACCTCAAAGTCTAGGATGTGTGCTGAAGGGATGTAGAAAGAAAACGGGCTGTGGCAAGCCTCAGGTGTAGGGCTTGAATCATAAAAGTTTAGGGTTGGCAACTGCCCAAAATCGTAAACTCCAATTCCTTCTTGAAGTTTTGTATAAGAAGCTTTGAAACATGTCTACAACCTTTGGGGGCATCTCGCTAAAAACGAGCATACATGCCCTGAACCCTCAACTCTGAACCTTACGCTGTGTTCTTTGAGAGAGCCAAGGCAAGCCACGGAACATCAGCTTTACGGTTTAGGGTTTTCCCCTGATCATTACCCAGGTGCTCACACCAGATCCCATAAAATCAAACTAGTTCTACTCTTTTCGCGAGATTTGAGAGCGGGGCCACAAATATCTGAACCTTACAACAAATGCTGAGGGTTGTTCGGGAATAAAGGAATATATCTCTATATAACCCCTGTATACGGTCACATGTTCCTTTTTACTTACTAACCACCAGTTAGAAGAAGATACAAAGAACAAACACCCAGTCAAACTCTGAAGGCTTGCCCGTAATGACAATGTGATCTGCACCATCAGCCCTCAAGGCCGTCTAACTAGGTGGACCTGATACCTGAAGCGCAGAACATAATTCTGAACCCTTCTGCCGCCAAATCCTAAATTCAACTTTGCTGAGCTTCGAGGGGAAAGCGAGAATTATCCCCATGGTAGTCTCTGCAAAGCCCCATAGTCTCTACACCCCGTTCCTTTTTCCCTACGCACCACCCCAAACTCCAAACAATCTAGTCATGTCCATGACAGTACCTTATCATTCAAACCCTACATTCAACTTCGATGAAGCGCTGAACATATATGAGCAAAGAGAGAGTTGTACGGAAAAAACACCGGTGATGGTTCAACCTTCCACCCTACATCACTTTTGGGAAGGTGCTCGATGCGGCGGATACCTTGAAGGCAGGAAAGCTGTTGAACCAGTAAGCTCAGCTGCGGATCTCCATGGTTCGCATAAAAGCGAATTTCAGCTGGGTAGTTTAAGCCCCCCAAAACATTCCGTAGAACAACATCCAATTCTCCCTGAACCCTAAACCCCAAACCGTAATTATGCCCTTATTATAAACCCTAGCCCAATAACGTCCTTGTGATCCATCTAGGATCCCCCACATGGTTCCAGGGGATCTAATTCTTAGCTCCTTATAGCAGTCATGACAGGGTTTAGGGGCTATGGAGAAATTACAGGCGAAAAAGTAGTGTTCGGGCTTCTCGGGGTGAAGGTCTGGGCTGACTTTCTAAGGCTTAAGGTTTAAGGTCTAGCGTTTAAGGTTCAGGGTTTGAGGTTTAAACAGGCCCTGGACCAATCGCAAGAATGTCTATCTGACCCTCATCTCTGGATCCCTAGGCCCTAAACCCTTCCAGATTGAGAGAACCCCTGCCTCGAACAACATTTCCAAAGTCCGGGTTGAACAAGCCAATATGGGGTTATAGGCTAAACCCTAAACCCTAAACAAGTATATAGGGATACATGGGGATTGCGGATTAAAGTTTGAGGCTCAGGGGTGCTTCCGAAATTAGGAGTGCTACCTCGGAGGGACCCCAAAATAAGGATGATCATATCTTGGCGTCTATGTTGCCCTAAGGGTCCAAGGACCCAACTAGTAGGGTTTTAGGGCCCAAATGCCATTAATATTATGGTATCTGGGCCCTAAAACCCTGTTATTTGGGTCCTTAGACCCTTAGGGTTGGGGTCCCCCTACTTAGGGAAGGTACCGTACACACAAAAAAAACACACCAACCAGGGATGCCTTGTGACCTAAGTAAGAAACAGCAGTGGTGTAGGCAGTAAGCATCTACCTTAGCTGGACCCCCCCCCGCCCTGCAATAGTGACTATAAGGGAGATATAATAAGGACTATATTAAAGCCCTCTTATAATCCTTATATATCAACATTACAGGGACATTTACCACAAGCACTCATCAAGGTACCGTCGTACGAGGCATAACCACTCGAGTCCAAGCAACGGCTGTCCTACCGCTTTAAACCTCTACCCCTCAGACCCTAAATACATCCCTGACCAGATGGTTCCTCATTCAGATACCATCAAACGTAATGGCTTTTCATCCCCTGCTCACTTTTTGGGCTTTTACCCTGAACCCTAAATTAAGCAAAATGCATGCTTCAAATAAGAATGATCAACCATGATCCAAGAAAACTCGCAGAGATCCTAGACCTGAAGCCAAAACTTCTACCTAAACCCCGAAAGTATGTAAGATAATAGCCCTAAACCCCTAATAATAACCATAGAGGCCATTGTTTTACATACTTTTGGGGTCCAGGTAGAGTTTAGGGCCTCGAAACTTGCAAAAGGCGACAGTGTGGCAATGTGCGCTGTACATCACTCCAAAGCCCAACCGTCAACCCCAGTTCCAAACCCTAAACCCTATCCACGTCAAAACACCCACCCCAAACCACCACTGCAAAACCTCAGCACTGCAAAGCCCTGGTTTAAGGGTTTAGGGTTGAGCGTTCAACCCTAACTCCACAACTCAAAGCCCTGGGCCCCTCAAACCTCAAACCCTCAAGTCCATGCCACACTTGTTCGCCCAAAATCCCAGAATCCCAGACCCTCCCCCCCCCCCAACAAAACCAGCAAAATGGTAAGCGTGCCGGTATGGCTTCCCATCCTTTGTAGAAGCCGCCATGATGCTCTTGGATCACCCCGCAACAGCGGGAAGGTCACTTACAGTATACGGGATAATGGAAAAGAACATGGAAACTACGGTATATATAAGTCATGAGGCAAAATTGCCCAAGGGGCATAGTTGTACTTCTTTGCCATGTGATGTGGCCTCCTGCAGCCAGGAGAAACCAGGCATTTCACGAAAGACTTTTCTAGAGAAGCATGTCAGGCTGGCCCCATTGCGTGGGAGTTACTCTTGGCCTTTGCTTGCTCTGGTGCCTGCGGCTGCTTATCGATGACCACAACAATGGGGCTTCAGGACCCAAATGCTAGGGATGTTGGTACCTAAAACATCCTAAAACCTCCTGAGGGTGTGCTTCGATGGGGTTTAGGGTTTACGGTGTCTCCACTTCACGTGGTTCATCTGAGCAGCGCGACCAGGAATGACAGAATTTCCAACGGATCCAGCATACCCTTACCCGAGAGATCCGACTAGCCACACTAGGTAGTATTGATACACTTTAATATGGGTTCACCCACTACTCCCCTCTATACTACACCCCCCCGATCTTTCCCCTTAAATATGTGTATTCAGGGATGATTAAGCCTAATTACGGTTTCTTAGAAGGGGGAACCTGGGGGATGTATAAAGGGGTGTAGTCGGTGAACCCATGACTTTAGAGCCCTACGAGGATGGACTTAGGGTTGAGAGGTTAGGGCTTTGGAGTTTTAGGGTTACAGAACTCTGAATCAAACAAACTCCCTAAACCCTGAACCCTAAGCTCTGGTTTCCAATGCGCATGTGGACGGTTGCTCAAGGACAGTACCCTGAACTCCAAGGCATTGAAGAAACGGCCTAATATGAGAGGGTTTAGGGCTTAGGCCTTCTGGCCTAGGGGAACAGAAGCACTAGCCAATATCATTTTGATGTCTATCTGGGCTTATGATTCCACGTTGACCGCCAAGCCCTACACCCCACACCCTTTAAGCTTGCGCCCGGAACTCTTCATGAAGCCTCAGGGTCGAAGACGCAAAGAAATGCAGCCTAGCGCTCCAAATACTACAATCTATTTGGGTTCTTGGCCTGTACGGCCTGCATCCTACATACCCACAGTTCCCACTCAGTTTTCCATCTGTTCTTCAGCGCATTTTTGAATGTTAGGGTCATACCACTAAACCCTACATCTACACCCTATGTAGCCCCAGAAACAGTAACCCTGAACCCTAAACCCTATATAGCCCCTACCCCAGATACTCCAAAGGCTACCCAGGGAGCCCAATACCCCTTAGGGAAGGCAAGCAGGATTGCAGGGATTCATATGTGTTTAGAGATGACTCTAGGGTTTAGGGAGAACTATACCTGGGGGGTCGAATGTACTTAGTAAGTAGGTTACACATGGCGAGAACTGGGGTCATTCATGATGCAGCTTCTAGGGGTTGAATCTCTAAGTTGCTGCTGGCTCCTTACGGGTGCTGCTGCATGGATTAATAGAAAAACCACACAGAAGAATAGAAATTGTCCTGACAATTTCCAAGTAGCAGCCAGGCCTGCTTGAAGAGGCTGCAATACTTA